AGTGCCACACTGTTTTCCAGAGTGGTTGGACCATTTTGCATTCCCACCAGCAATGTAGGAGGGTCCCAGTCTCTTCACATCCTCACCAGCATTTATTATCCTCTACTTTTTTGATCTTTACTGTTATTGCTGGTGTGAGATGATATCTCCTTGTTGTTTTGATTTGCATCTCTCTAATGGCTAATGATCGTGAACATTTCTTCATATGTTTGTTGGCTGCCCAAATGTCTTCTTTGGTGAAGTGTCTGTTCATGTCCTGTGCCCATGTTACTTGTCTTTTTCTTGTAGAGGTGTTGTAGTTTCCTGTAGATTTTAGAAATTAGTCCTTTGTCTGATATGCCATTGCAAAAGATTTTTTTTCCCATTCTGTGGGCTCCCTTTTTACTCTTTTGGTAAATCCTTTGATGCACATAAGTTTCTAATTTTTAGAATGTCCCAATCATCTAGTTTGTCTTCTTTCGTTTGTATAATTTTCGCAATAGTTCCTAGTCTGTGTGTGCTCAGGATTAGAGCCCTTAAATTTGTCCCTAGTTTTTCAGGGCAGCCAACAAAAATCACATATATAATAGATACAAGTTGTAAGTACTTTTCTGGAAGTAAATTTCCCCGTTTCAAATATGTAAAACAAAACAACAACAAAAAATTAAAGAAGGACATGAGAAGATTTCTATTTCTAACTAGTGTGCTTGTTGTTGTTGTTGAGTGCCATGGAGTCAGTTCTGACTTATAGTGACCCTGTATAGGGTTTCTGAGAAGCAGCTGGTGAGTTTGAACCACTGAACTTGCAGTTCAATTGGACTTTGAAGCCGAGTGCTTGTCCTATAGCGCCACAGTAGTATAGAGAGCTATGCATTTCACAATCTTCTTGAGCAAATTTACATATAAATTAGAAAGAAATATAAACTAGGAAAACAGTCATGTTGGCATGAGGAGCCATCAGGGAGCTTTCAGGGATCACTGGGACTGGATTTAGATGGGGGTGCACCGGAGGGCATTACTTGGGCTGTGAGGAGATGTCCTCGGGGAGGCTGCAATACCCTGGACTGGGGAGACTGGGGGACAGTGGGGAGGACACCACACTCCTGAAACAGTAGGTTCCAGAACCCACAGTAGGCCCCCAACATGGAGATAGAGCCTAGGGCCTGGTGGAGAGTGACTGGCACGGGTGGCAAGGAAAGTGGGCAAGTGAGCTGAGGACCCAGAGAGACCTTGATGCCACAGCAAAGGTGTGCATAAGCAAAGGTTTGAATAAGGTTAGCACTTTCCAACGCTTAGCCCAGCTCTAGTGTAGAGAGAACTGTGTGTAGAGAGAGGAAGCAGAACAGTTGAAGGAAAACCCAGGAGAGAGAGGTGGCCTGGGTTGAGTCTAGGTCAGGAGCAGGGACAGACCAGGGGCGGGGATCAGTAGCTGGTGAGACAGATGGGGTCATGGAGGTGGGGCAAAGGTCCCAAGTCTGGGATGGTAGGTGCAGGCATGCACACAGAAGGGTAGCTCAGCTTCAGGGTCCAGGGAAGGGACAGGATGCCCTGAGCCCAAACACAGGACTAGAGATTCCCAGGTCTTGGTAAGATGTAACCTCCCATCCCTGGGGATCTGAGCAGCTCAATACCTGGTTCTTTCTGACTTAGGGTCTTGATGTCACTACATCATCAACCACTGTTTCTGAGATGTGACTGGAGGGCATTTGATGACCATCAGCTCCAGCCACTGACAAAAATGTCCCTCAGGGCCAGTGCCACCTAGCTCTCTCCCTGCCTCCCTCAGTGGGAAGCCTTTCTTTCCAAATTTTCCCCAAAGGTGACCTTGATAGAGTGGGGAATATCTGGTTGTCCTGCCTGGCAGTGTTGCCATTTGGACAAAACTCAGGCCAAGGTCCCCAAGGAGTCCCAGTCTTAAAGTCACATCCACTTCTCTCTACCCCTGGGCCATTTTATTTTTCAGATATGAAAAGGAGACCTTCTGAGAGTAAGGAACAATGAGTTTATTTGTTAACAGGCAGGTCACTCACATAGGGCATTGAGACAGGATTGAGAGAAAGAAACTGGATAAGACACAGAGCCATAGGGAACTCACCTTGGGGCCCACAGACCCAGCATATCTGGAGGGTGGGGAGATTCTGGGGCAGAAAGAAATCCCTGATTGGGCTCTGGATCCAAGGATATCAGGAGATAACTAGACTTGATCTGGGGGCCTTTTAGTTACAGGAAGGGCCACAGGAGGCGGGCTTGCACACCGGACGGCAGAGTAGGGACATAGAGGAGGAGGCAGGGGCACAGCAGGTAGGCTTGCACATAGGGCTACAGATGAGGGACATGGAGGAGGAGGGTTTGCAGCAGGAGGGGGCACAGGGAGAAGGCTGGCAGCTTGAGGAGGATGAGCAGGGGGAGGTTCCACAGCACACAGGCATACAGCAGACGGGCTTGCAGGAGACAGGCTTGCAGCACACGGGCACACAGCAGACGGGCTTACAACAGACGGGCACACAGCAGGCCTGCTGGCAGGGGGAGGATGTGCAGCAGGATGGCTGACAATCAGACTTCTGGCAGCAGGAAGGCTCACAGGAGCTGGTGCAGACCAATTGGCAGGGGCTGGACCCACAGCTCACAGGGGTGCAGACAGGCTTGCAGCAGACAGGCACACAGCAGGGCTGCTGGCAGGGGGAGGATGTGCAGCTGGATGACTGGCAGCTAGACTGCTGGCAGCAGGAAGGCTCACAGGAGCTGGTGCAAACCAATTGGCAGGGGCTGGACCCACAGGCCACCTGGCAGCTGGGGCTGGACCCACAGCTCACAGGGGTGCAAACAGGCTTGCAGCAGACGGGCACACAGCAGGGCTGCTGGCAGGGAAAGGGCATGCAGCTGGAAGACTGGCAGCTAGACTGCTGGCAGCAGGAAGGCTCACAGGAGCTGGTACAGACCAATTGGCAGGGGCTGGACCCACAGCTCACAGGGGTGCAGACAGGCTTGCAGCAGACGGGCACACAGCAGGCCTGCTGGCAGGGGGAGGATGTGCAGCTGGATGACTGGCAGCTAGACTGCTGGCAGCAGGAAGGCTCACAGGAGCTGGTGCAGGTGGATTGGCAGGGGCTGGAGCCACAGCTCATGGGAGTGCAGATGAGGGTCAGACAGGAGGCTGGGGTGCAGCTGGTGGGGACACAGCAGGAGGACTGTGAGCAGGAGGGGACACAGCAGGTGGATTGTGAGCAGGAGGGGACACAGCAGGTGGACTGTGAGCAGGAGGGGACACAGCAGGAGGACTGGGAGCAGCTGGGGGCACAGCAGGAAGGTTCACAGCAGCTCTCAGGGCAGTCATCCACCTCCCAGGAGGAGCCGGTACAAGACTCACAGGAACCGGGCAAGCAGACACGGCTGCCATAGCTCAGGTCACTGGAGCAGATGGACACGTTGGAGGCAGACATGGTGGGAGAGGGTGGGAGAAGGTGAGGTGATGGAGGAGGAGGGTGTGAGTGAGTGAGTGTGTGACTGAGTGGGTGGTTGAGTGTGTGAGTGTGTGAGTGTGTGAGTGAGTGAGTAGCTCTGGGCTGTGCAGCTTTTATATCCCTCTGTGTTGTGTGTTGTCCCAACAGTTGTCCCCAAGGTCTCCCTTCCTGGTTGGTGTCAAAGCATCAGTTGCTGTTGATTTTGGGGCATGAGTTCCTTGTTTTGATGCTGCTAGCTGTGAGGCTCCTGAGTGGGGTTGTATCATCCTGACTTGTGTTTGTTCCCAGAGGAAAACAGCAGAAATGCCTGGAGTGCATCAGAGTACACCTGAGATGCCAGCATAGCAGCAGCCAGATAAAAAAAAAATATATATATATTTTAAAGCGAAGCCCTTTGCTGCTTCCCGTGGGATTTGCTCGTTCACAGTCTCATTCTCTTGGTGGGAGGTAGATTTCATGGGTGGGAGATGTGTGTTCAGCCACAAACAGGTGTGACCATGCTCACCCAGCCTTGTGCCAGACCTGCTCTGGGGATGATATCACTGATCTTGTCAGTGGAGTTGGAGGGCCTATATTTGCCAGGTGAGCTCCAGGCAGGTGTGAGGAAACCATGTCCTCTAGGGGCAGAGATTGGCTTGGGTGGAGGGCAGGCATACCACTAGTGCAAATGTCTTCGGGTGCCCTTGCATTTGTGGCATCTTTACTGTGCTGGACCATTTTTATTGAAACAGCATGTGTGAGTGCTTACACCTCCCTCTGTTCTCACAGTTCAGTCAACACCCACAATGGCTCTTACTTAGAACGCTGTGTCTCCCCTTAGGTTCTCCTTCTCTTCCCAAGACCAGAACATCATTGGGAGAGGTGGTGACCGAGAGTTCAGTCCTCTCAGAACCATCACAGTAAATGCACAAACAACAGGTCTGACTGTGCTCAGAGTGCTGGGCCTAACCCTGTCATACTCCACCCATGAACACCTGCACAGCCATATGAAATGGCCCATGACCCAGTATTAGTATTACCTAAAGCCCACTAAGCACTGTCATCCCCTCCCTCTGCAACCAGTATTCTTAGCTTAGGCTCTGTACTCCAGCTGCAGGTTCTACAAGTCAGCCTAGAGCTTCCTTGGGGCATTCCTGAGACTGGGGGCTGCAGGGCTGCAGGGCTGAAGCCTTACTGTGTTCTGATGAAGTGGGACTGGGCATTCTCCCTGCAGGCTTCGTGGCAGAGGCTTTCAGGTCTCTGCTGAAGAGGTCCCCTCAAGTGACCTATGGTGTCCACATGGCAGCAGGGAATGGGGATGCTGCGGGTGTCCCATGCCAAGTCCTCTGACACTCTTTCTCTTCCCTCACCCTCACCCCATCTTGTTTTCCAGGCCTGGGCACTCCCATGAAGGCCAAGCTACAAGATGCTCATGTAACTCTGGGCATTGCCTGAGATTTTTCCTCTCTGTTACTCATCCCAACTGGGCTCTAGCCTCTCTGCCTCTCATGGCCTCTCTCCAGCTGTGGATATGGGACCCACTCATTCACCTTGAATCCCCACGATCGGCACATGATGTACTCAGGACTGGCTTGCTGAGGGAACACAGCTCAGATAAAGGGAAATGTTCTGTGCCCCACCAGAAAGCCCAGTTGTGAATGACAGAATGACTCCTAACTCTGTGGATGTGGGGCTAAGGCTGCTGACGAGGTCATCAGTCCTCAGAACTGGCAAGGGACAGGCAAGATTGTGTCCGGACCTTGAGTCTGAAGACAATCTTGCAAATGTGATTTGTAGTCCAGTGTTATGTGTACTATCTTTCAAGAATCAAGAGAAAAAGCATTCCTGTTTACTTTTCTCTGAATCATCATAAAAGAATCAAAGAATTTAGTACCTCAAGAAAACTGGAAACCATCTAAAGTCCACTGCAGGAAAAAGAATAAGTATATTTTTTGATAACTGTTATATAGCCACTCTAAACTATAACACAAACATTCAAAAATATTCATGTTATAATGTCAAATGGGAAATTGTCATTAAGTGCTGTTGAGTTGGTTCTGATCCATAGCAGTTCTATGTACTACTGAAGGAGGCACTGCCCAGACCTGCATCATACTTATACTTGTTCCTATGTTAGGAACCTACAACCACTGTGTCAATTCATCTCACTGATTTTCCTCTTTTTCCAATAAGCACCTTCTAACAAGCATGATGTCCTTCTGTAGGGAAGGACTGGTCTCTCCTGATAACATATTCAGCTATGTGAGATCAAGACTCCCCATTCTGGCTTCCAAGGAGCATTCTGGCTGTACTTCTTCCAAGACATATTTGTCCATGAGAAAAGGGCCACAAATTGCTATGTGACTACAAATGTGTGAAACAAAGTAACCAGCTAAATCGCTATGGAAAAAAATGACTATATATAATTAAACAAAAAAGTTCACACTGTGTTTGTATGGGGGCGGACAAGAGGTATCTCTACATGGGAAAAAATAGATGATGGAGGCAGAGATTGGAGTGATGCAAGGGATGCTTGAAGTCACCAGAAGCTGAACGAGGTAGGGAAGGATTCTCTCCAAAGCCTTCAGAGAAACCATGGCCCTGAATTTGAACTTCTGGCCTCAGAATTATGCTATTTCTGTTGTTTTAAGGCACCCATTTTTGGAAAACTTTGCTATGGCAGCCCTGAAGCTAACATACCTATGCTGTGCATTATACTATGAACCACAGGGAAGTGGAAAGAGATACATGCCATCGGGCTTTGACTTCAAAGGAGACTCCAGACTGGGCAAGAGGAGGGTAGCAATGGACATGTTACCTAGATTTAGGATTCATGAAAGTGAAAATCACAGGTAAACTGCCCCATAAAGGGGATGTTTTCATTTGTCATTTTTTTATTCACATGCTCTGCCAAAGGATGTCAAGTCAAAACTCTAAGTTCTGTACTTAGCCTTTGACAGTTTGGTATAACAGAAAAAAAATATTCGTGTTACTGCAGTAGTTACTAGTTCAATCTGTGGTAGATGGTCACACAGACTCTAAGTGCATGATTCCAGAAATGGAGACCTCACTACCTATCAAGGCAGGCAGTCTTGGTCTCAAAGACATGCTTCGAGACCCTAACCAGCACCTCATCATAGTCCCTATCAGCTGAGCTCTGATATTAAGAACATCCAAGAGGAACTGCATTAGGTCATTGTAACATGAAGGGTGAAAAAGACACTGACCTTGGGTGGAAGACTGGAAACTTTCAAGGTTACCACGATGGAGAATTCTTCAGGGAAGAGGTCACATCTGATGAAAATCCGTGATGCAGGGAAGCTCATGGTGTGGGGTGTGGTGGCTGAGAGTTGGAGTCCTCGAGCACCCTGAGCCTGAACCACCCTGACTCCACCTGCAGCACTGCTAGAAGGGACTCCTTCTGCCAGGATGTCCAGGGGGTGCAGATCTGTGTAGGAAAAAATCACAGACAGGTCATGCCCATCCACCAACGTGGACATCTTCCCTGAACCATGGTAATCACAACAGCCACATCCGCAGGACACCCCATTCAGCAGGCATGGGTCTCAGCACTACACACCATCCTCTCCACAGCCCTGGTGGACCAAGTGCTGATATGGTTCCTGTTGTGCCAGAGAGGAAGCTGGGCATCAAGGTTAAAGCAGTACCTGCTCTCTGATCTATGTTCCTGGCTCCTGTGTGAACCTTGTGAGTGCACTTGGGCTGGAGAGACACATTGGGTGTTGGTGCTGTCTTCCATTCAATAGCGTGAGGAACAGAGGGAAGGGACAGTCCCCAGGGAGCAGATGGTGCACATGGAAGAAAGGTTCACATTCATGAAATATCTAGGGGATGGAACAAGACTCGCACAAGCTTGTGCTCCTCTCCTCCAGATTCCCAAGCACTCACATACTTTACTCTGGCTCACTTGGTACCAGATGGCCCTTAGATGGAGCCTTTGATGGGTACTGCTAATAGGTGGGGTAGACGAGGCATCAACAGAGTCCTGGAAGAGCCATGGAGCTAGGTGGTGCCTCCTCCCTCCTTGTTTTTCCAGACATATATAGAAGGCAGATCTGCTCCCAAGAGGACCTTTTTGTTATAGTTCAGGATTATCACCAACATAACCAGTGTGCAGCCTGGCCTCAGGAGAACACAGAGGATAGGAAGGAGAATAAGGACAGGAAGAGCATTCATGATAGGAAGAGGGGTTCTGGACCAGTCCCATGATTGCCCCCTGAGTCCCAGTTGTTAAAGGGAAGTGCTGGTCCAGCAGAACCAAGGGATCATGCTGGGCCTTTCAACCTGGCCACCACATCCATGGTTGTGGCTTGGGGTACCTGGTTAGGTCCACACCAACTAGAATAGTTATATCTGGAGTTGGCTTTCTCAGAATCAGTAGACTGGCTAAGAAGCCTCTTGCTTGACACTGGCATGGGTGTATGTCTGGGGACATGTACAATGGGATGTGAGAGCACAGGAAAAATGGGAATGAGGCAAGAGCATAATTTGTAATATTTTAATTTAGTACAAGAAGAATATATAATTAATATTATTTATTCAATCAAAATTATAAATTAGATTGTGAAGAGACTATCATTCTTGAAAAGAACTTGTATGATGAGATAATGCAGCAAAAAATTACCACATACAGAAGGGAAGGGTCTATACCCTCTAGTGTAGCAAACCGAGTTCCATTGTGGTGCTGTAGGATAAGCACTGGACCGCAAGGTCAGTTTGAACCACAAGACTGGCAGTTCAAACTCACCAGCCGCTCCTCAGAAACCCTATACAGGGTTGTTATGAGTCAGAACCGACTCCACAGGACTTATCAACAACAACAACGTAGCAAACTTCAAGGCAGTTATCATACTGCGAGGCAGCTGTGTGGGTTGGAGGGGCCCCAGATTGACTCTAGGGAGGATGCTTGTGTCTTGGAGGTCAGGGCAAGGAGCCTGATTTGTACCTGAGAACCTGACTCTAGGCTGGTCTAAACCACAAGATTGGAGACCTGGCCTGTGGATCTGTCTCCTGGTGGGAGTCCACTGGACAGAGATTTGTGGGGGCATTTTAAAACTGTGTACCCTAAAATACCCCCACAAATCACCTAGAGAAACCTGGGTACATGGAGCCTTGCCAAGGGTGAGTACTTTCTCTGGTTTGGGCTATGGCACCACCAAGTTCAACACCTTCCTCAGGAAACACTCATCCACCCAGGAAGTTCCACCCAGTGCCCAGAACATGCCTCTGGTCTGATCTATGGCCTGGCAATTATGGCTGATTAACAGCAAGGGTGGCACTGGCTCTGATGTTCTCTAGAACACTGCTGGGGGTGACCCACATCCTGGACTAGACTAATCCCAGTGTGAGCTGTGTCTTCCATTGTTTAGCTAAATTATCTTCTTCCTGGGTCCGCCCTGGACTAGGCCCATCTTTACTGATGCAGACAGATTCTGCTCTGGCAAATACTCAGAACAGGTTTATTGGTTTATTTTTCTCTGTTGCAGTTATATACATATACAAATGAAAATTTCTGAGGTTGGCAGAGAGATCTGGGTTTTACATTGTCCTGAAAAACCCCGTTAGGATGAAGGAATGAGCTAGGGTTTATGAGAGAATGTTAGCTTTCTCAACACATTCAGACATGTATAAATGATCAAATCCTGCATATCAGTTCTAATGAATTCAGCACATGCTTACTAGCACCTGCTGCTTTCAAGGGAGATACTGTATGCAAACAGACAACAGAGGACCAGAGAGGACTATTGAACATTGACTTCTGACTTCTTCAGCATCCAGTTTGGGAAATCAAACCACAATTTACACAGCAATCAGCCCATAAGAGTCAGGTCTGGATCATTAACCGCCTGCTTCTCTAAGTTTTCTTTGTCCCCCTGCTTCTGACCCAGGACCAATAGGAGAAAGCCAAATATGTTCTTCAAGCAACACACAGGACACCTGACTCCTGTCCCTCCAGCCTCCCCTTGCCAACACCCCATCAGGGCACATCTGCACTTTCGCTTTTCTCATTATAAAGCTGTTCCACTCCCCAGCTGCCTTTGAGACTCTGCCAAACTAGGTTTAGAGTGCTTGAGGTACTTGCTGATAAAAATAAAATATTGTAGCCTTCAGTGTGAATTACAACTCAGTGTAAAGAAAATGAAAATCCTCACAACTGGACCAATAAACAGCACCATGATAAATCATACTGACTTGACGGCACCAAACAACAACAATAATATGCATTAATGACCTGTTCAAAAAAATAATTAAATAATAGGGTCAAAAGTAAAACAAACCACAGCTTTACACACCTGACACACTGACCTTGCTCCACAACTACCTAAACTTAAGACATAAGGCAACTTGGGAAAGTTAGGCTAGGTTTTGGTTTTAGTCCCTTGGAGCCAAGAGGTTATCCAAGACATTGTCCAAAGGGTCAGTTAAGAGACACTGTAAGAGTCTGTGACTTTTGTGGCCAGCTGTGTCTATGTAGGTAGAGTTACATGTCTTTCTGAGACTCTGCATCATTGTCAGTAGTAGAGGAGTGGGTCACATAGTGGTTACGAATTGGGCTGCTAACCTCAGGGTCATCAGTTCGAAACTACCAGCTGTTCTGCAGGAGAAAGATGAAATTTTCTGTTCCCATAAAGATTTACAGCCTTGGAACCCCTGTACAGGGTCGCTATGAGTCAGAACCAACTCCACAGCATATAACAACAACAAAGATGGAAAATGCTGCCTGTGAATAACTGGCATGCAGAAGTTGTTCCAAGTATAGGGCTGTCCTGCAATGAGATAATGATTGGAAAAGGACTGCCCATGCTTTATGATGGGTCCACATTTTAGGTAGGCTTGTAAATGTCCCTTCTGGGTTTATCAGGAGGAGCTGTGCTTTCTCAGTGGAGGACAGCCTTCCTGACTAAGGTTCCTGACGCCCAATTTAATCTAGGTAAATTGGCCCGATGGTATCTTGTATGTATCAGTCAATTAAAATAGGAAACACCACATTCAGAGCTCTGGATGAATCTACCTGCTGGCTGCGATTCCCTTCCCTGTGTGTTATTCAAGAAAGGACCCCACTACTCGACCTACTAGGGTAAGGAGGACATTCAGGAAACTGGAGGGAGTGTGTGTTGACCAAAGACTCTTGGTGATTGGGGGGTTGGCAGGGGGCTAGTGAGGGCTAGTGGGGGCTGGCAGGGGTTTAGTGAATTCTCCAGGGACTAATGAAGGCTGGTAGGGAGCTGGCATTAGCTAGCGAGGGCTGGCAGTGGTTGGTGAGGGTTGGTAGGGGCTGGTGTGGGGTTAGTAAGGGCTGACAAGAGCTAGCAGGGCAAGGAGATTTAATATTGAACTCTTCAGGATAAGTGCCCAGCTGCCCTCAGGGTCCCACCCATGGAATGCTGGAATATTTCCTCCTTCATTCAAAACACTTTCTCTGGCCCCATCATTCCAGGAGCTGTGGGGTGTGAGGGGGAGGCAAAGTTGAAGGAGGCAGCCCTGCCTCAGGGGAGCTTGGAAATATAAACACATCTCTCACTGCCAGCAATGCAGCCACTTCCCTTGTTACTCTATTTCACATCCTTTTGACAAGTGAAAACATGAATGGTGGGTGAATCCAGGCTCAACCATCAGCCTCAGGCTTCAGAACATGGAAGCCCAAATTATGATCCAGACCTAGGAGTTCACCACCTTTAATCCAAATTACGTGTGAGTCCTCATCTGCTCTATTACTCTTAAAAGACATGTGCTGAGTCCAGGTACCATGGGATCAGAGTTGGAGGGGATCCAGAGACTGTGTCAAGCAAGGGCTAGGAAGGTAGCTAGGGAGAAACTAAGGGTGCAGTTCACCAGAGGGAAGTTTCTAGTATTAAGAGCTTACATTAGAAAAGAAGAAAGCTATCAAGTTAATAATCTAAGCTTCAACTATAAGGAACTATGAAAAGAAAAAGGAGCAAATGGGGTCACCATGAGTATGAATCTACTTAGCAGCCACTGCCAAGTTACAGGAATGGAACAAGCAAATCGAATTGAGAATTATTCTTCAAAATAACTCACCAGTACTCTTCAAAAGTGTCAAGGTCCTGAATGTTCGGGAAAGACTAAACAACTGACACAGATTGGAGGGAACACTGGAGAGTTGACAATCAATGGGATGGAATTATGGATGGGATCTCAGAACAGTAAAAGGATGTTAGGGTGTCCTTTAGTTGATGCAATGTGTTGTTGTTAGCTACCATCCAGATGGTCACCAACTTATGGCACAACAGAAAGAATCGTGGCCCCATCCTTCATCATGCTCATGATTGGTTCAGATTGGACCCTTGTAATTCGTAGGGGCTGTCATTGATTTTCAGAAGTAGATCACCCAACCTTTCTTCCTGATCCATCTTAGCCTGAAATCTCCCTTGAAACCTGTTCAGCATCACAGCAACATGCCAGACAGGTGGTGGCTATGTATGAAGTGTATTAACTGAGAATAAAACCTGGACCACCATGTGACCTTAATAGCAATGTACTGGACATTGATTTCTTAGATTTAATCATTGACGGAGGGTTAGGCAAGAGGTTGCAATACTAGAAAAACTGTGTGAAAGACATATCTGAACTCTGCACTACTTATATAACTCTTCAGAAAATAAATTTAAAAATGGTCCCATGAGCTCAATCTATACCTATACACGACGTGTCTTACTGCCACACTCCTCACATAGTGGTCTCCCTGCTTCCTTATCCCTCACCTGCTCCAGACAGGTACCAAAGAGAAATGAGACATATCTAACTTCTCTTTTATCCCAGCTTCTGGCATTGGGTGACTTCCGAAGTAGGTACTGCAGAAAAATCATGACCAACATTATCTTTGTTTAGAAATCCAATAAACCTCTTTCTCTTGCCTTCCCTATCCTAGAAGTGCAAGATCATGGTCAGGAGCCCAAGAAACCAGTAGCTAACATAGGGCCCCTGCACACCAGATGTTCAGCCTTAGTGTGGGTGATTGTGGTGGTCAGGGACCAGCACGCTCACAGGTATGGATCTCACCTCAGCCCACAATGTGATTCTGTTATGGCATAAATGCAGTAGCTTATATTCCACCCACCCTCACTTTCCTCAATGAGAGTAAAACTGGCCAAGATACCCTAAGCCAATGGCAAGAGTTTTGTGAGCTGAGCAATAACTCCTTGGCAAATGAAACACAGAAGTTGTTTGTTTTCTGTGTACCAGCACAGATAATCAGGAAGAGGAAGGCATCATGGAACCTCTGTTAGGACAACACACAACACAGAGGGATATAAAAGCCTCAGAGGCTCAGAGCACCTCACACACACACTAAAACTCACACCCTCCTCCTCCATCACCTCAGCTTCTCCCACCCTCTCCCACCATGTCTGCCTCCACCGTGTCCGTCTGCTCCAGTGACCTGAGCTATGGCAGCCGTGTCTGCCTGCCCGGTTCCTGTGAGTCTTGTACGGGCTCCTCCTGGGAGGTGGACGACTGCCCTGAGAGCTGCTGTGAGCCCTCCTGCTGTGTCCCCTCCTGCTCCCAGTCCTCCTGCTGTGTCCCCTCCTGCTCCCAACCTATCTGCTGTGTTCCCACCTGCTGCCAGTCCTCCTGTGTCCCTACCTGTTCTCAGTCCTCCTGCTGTGTTCCCACCAGCTGCACCCCAGCTTCCTGTCTGACTTTCATCTGCACTCCCATGAGCTGTGCGTCGAGCCCCTGCCAATCCACCTGCACCAGCTCCTGTGAGCCCTCCTGCTGCCAGTCATCCAGCTGCATGTCTTCCCCCTGCCAGCAGGCCTGCTGTGTGCCTGTCTGCTGCAAGCCTGTCTGCACCCCTGTGAGCTGTGGGTCCAGCCCCTGCCAATTGGTCTGCACCAGCTCCTGTGAGCCTTCCTGCTGCCAGCAGTCTAGCTGCCAGTCATCAAGCTGCGAGACCTCCCCCTGCCAGCAGACCTGCTGCATGCCCGTCTGCTGTAAGCCCGTCTGCTGTGTGCCCATCTGCTGCAAGCCTGTCTCCTGCAAGCCCGTCTGCTATGTGCCTGTGTGTTGTGGGGCCTCCCCCTGCTCCTCCTCCTCGAGCTGCCAGCCTTCTCCCTGTGCCCCATCCTGCTGCAAACCCTCCTCCTCCGTGTCCCTCATCTGTAGCCCTGTGTGCAAGCCTGCCTGCTGTGCTCCCACCTCCTCTTGCTGCCCGTCCAGTTCCTGCGGCCCTTCTTCAAGCATGTCCTTGATCTGCCGCCCTGTATGTCCACGCCCAGCCTGCTGTGGTCCATCATCTGGCCAGAAGACCTGCTGCTGAATGAGAGCATCCCTCCAGGGCCAGTGGGGCTATAGGTCCCACCTGGAAGCTGAGTGCATGTCCTAAGTTGCTGTAGCACTTAGGTCTTGCCAAGGGCCTTAGCTATCTGCTACTGAGCTGGAGGTTGTGAAACAACTCTCAGTGTTGTGACCCTTTTCAGGAGGTCCCAGGAAGTCTCCTCATGTATATCTCCTCCCCATTATGGCCCCTCACAAGGCTCAGCTCTGGCCAAGGGTCTCTGCCCTCCTTGGAAACGTAACTAATAAACATTATGTGAATACAAGAATGGTGTTGAGGTTCAACGTTTATTATTGATTATTATTTGTTCTTGTACTTGACAGCAGGCTCATTTTCCATCTCTTTATACACAATATGCTTGCAATCCTAAGGGACCCTGGTTTGGTTTCCTGGGACCAATGGTATGTGACTCCCAGTTATCAGGATTGGGTGATCAAGGGCATGGGGTGGGTTTTGCAGCCTTGAGTTTATCCCAGTCTTTCTGTGCCATTATTCATTTACTGTGTGCCATCAAGTCAATTCCAACTCATAGTAACCCTATATGACAGAGTAGAACTGCCCCATAGGGTTTCCCAGTGGAGTAGTTGATAGGGTTGAATCACTGGCCAAGCTCTCAACCATTACAGCACCAAGGCTATTATTCACTCAGTAGTCCTTTATGTCCACTTGCCTTTGCAACTTCTCCTGCTTCTCAACAATACCTATCAAATCATAAATATCTTCTAGATCCCTGTTTTCTAGAACCTGTTAAAAAGACTTAAGAAATTCAAAATTAGAAACATCTATGTATGGTCCAAGATCCTCTTGTGTGTCCCGTGGTGATGCCAGGAAAACATACTTTTGAAATTCCATCCATGGTGTTTATGCTTAGTGTGAGCAGACATTTATTTGACCTCTACTGACCTTCATTTACTCTTCTCTAAGGAAAGATGTCATTTTGAAGACTAAGGTGCTCCCAAAAGCTATTCATGGTCTTTTCAATCACCTCATATTCATGGAAAAGATGGGCAATAGAAAAAGAAGACAAAATAAGAATTGATGTTTTTAAATTGTGATTCTGGCAAAAACAAACAAACAAAACATTAAATATAACATCGACTGCCAGAAGGATGAACAAATCTGAGTTGAACAACCAGAATGTCTCTTGGAAGCAAGAATGGTGAAACTGCCTCTTGCTTATTTTGGAAAAGGTCAATGTCATCAGCAAAGATCAATCTCTTTTTAAAAAAAAATTCTTAAAAGGCATTAGTTTGGCACAGTAGAGGGTCTGTAAAATTGAGGGAAATCTTCCACAAGATATGTATCTGTATCTGTAGCTGTCACAATTGGGTTCAAACATAAAATATATCAAAGATTGTGAGGATGGCTCAAAACATGGCAACATTTCATTCCATTCTACATAAAGTCACTGAGAGTCAGAGTGACTTGTTGGCAGGTCCTGGTGTGGTGCTGTAGGATAAGCGCTGGACTGCTAGCCAAAAGATCCATGGTTCAAACCCACCAGCTGCTCCTTAGGAACCTATGGAGAGGTCGCTATGAGTCAACAACACTTAACAACAAAAATGCAATAGGACTTATTTTTGAGGTATTTAAAAAGATTGGCAATAATAGTGGAGAGCAAATGCATTATGATTTGAGTGAGTACATGAGATCAAAATGTGTTGGCCAGAGCATAAAAATTGTGATGATTGACAGATATTTAAGAAATCTAAAAGAAGCATGTCTGCCATTTT